TAATTGTCTTCATATTTGGTTTGCAGACAAAATGTGTGACCAAATAAGTGATGCCATTCTCGACGCCTACCTCTCTATGGATGCGGACGCGAAAGTGGCCGCAGAGACGGCCACTAAAGGCGATCTCATCATTGTTTTCGGCGAAATCACGTCCAGAGCGACGGTTGATATCGAGTCTGTGGTGAGAGAAACGGTCAAAAGGATCGGTTACGACGACCCGTCCAAAGGTTTTCACTCTTTGCGATGGATTCTCGCGATCCTATTGTCTGACAAATTGTTTGTTTAGGATTTGATTACAAGACATGTCGAGTGCAGATAGCGATCGACCGACAGAGCAGTGAAATCGCTTCCGGCGTTCACCAGAACAAGACGGAGGAGGAGATCGGCGCCGGAGATCAGGGGTTGATGTTTGGTTACGCCACGGATGAGACACAGGAATGCATGCCATTGACAGTAGTGTTGGCTCACAAACTGAACGCCAAATTGTCTGAATTGCGCAAAAACGGGACCTTTTGGTGGGCGCGACCCGACTCGAAGACTCAGGTGACCGCCGAATACTACTTCCGCAGAGGAGCGGCCATTCCTGTCCGCATTCATACGGTTGTGGTTTCGACACAACATTCCGATGACATCTCGTTGGAAGAGTTGAGGAATCAAGTGATGGAACAAGTGATCAAAGACGTGATTCCAAGCAATTACATGGACTCAGGAACTATTATACACATCAATCCGTGCGGGAAATTCGTTTTGGGCGGACCCGTGTCTGACGCCGGACTCACCGGCAGAAAGATCATTGTTGACACGTATGGCGGTTGGGGCGGACACGGAGGCGGCGCCTTCTCTGGCAAAGACCCCACCAAAGTGGACAGATCTGCGGCTTATGCCGCCCGACACGTCGCCAAATCACTCGTCACTTCCGGTCTGTGCAAGAGATGTCTGGTTCAGGTGAGCACTGAGTGTCACTTTAAGCAATACAATAGCAAACGTATTATTGTTAGGTTTCGTATGCGATCGGAATCGCGAAACCAATCTCTATAACCGTCTTCTCGTTCGGGACATCGACTAAGAGTCAGAAAGAATTGGTCCAAATAGTGAACGACAACTTTGATCTGAGGCCAGGCGTTATAATCCGTGAATTGAATCTCAAGAATCCCATCTATGAGAAGACCAGTGTTTACGGACACTTCGGACGGCAATCGTTTTCCTGGGAAAAGGCAAAGAATCTCCGCTTTTGACAGCATTTAATGCACCGGTGCTTACATTTGACATGTTTTCAGTATTAATTCTTTAATTCAATCAATTGCTTATGTTTTTAACTATGATTTAGTATTACGTTTGATGTCATAAATCACTTATATCTTTTTGCATTTCTATAACTTTAAACTGATTGATTTGTTTAGTAATCAATGCTTTCTCATTTATTATGTTTTTATTAGTTTTGATTTATAATAAAAGTATTAACTTAAGTATTTTTGTAATTGTGTATATAATAAGGGAATGATTTGCAGTTGCAATGCAAATGTACAAAATTGGCAATAAGTTACTGTCCTAACAATTTGGAAAACTATTATTTTATTTTTACTTTTTTAAAATATATTATAAATGAATGTATAAATTAATTTAACACTGAATCTGTTTGACCATAATCACAAATCCAGCGTCACTTCCATTGGCATCGGTGTGAAATTTAATGGCAATTTCGTCACTTTTGAATTCATATGTGCCTAAAAGTGAACGGAAATTATTTTAATGAAGAGTTAATTGAAAATGGCGTGAATAACAGACGTGTGGCCGCAAACGGCAATTTGCCGCAGAGTCTCATTTCTCCGATTTGCAAGTAATCCTTATAACAGGCCTTCGATTCCTCCAAAGCGAACGCATCGAACTTCACTTCGAGGGCACAGATATTGGAAGTGGACTTCCGGACGGTGTACTCGCAGTCCAGGAATGGCTGATAACTGCCGCTATCGTAGTGTGGGCTCAGAATTTGCAACGATTTCTATGAGAATGACAAACAAATGCTTAGTTTCCATAATATTGTCAAAAATGATGAGTTTGTGGACTAACTTCACTGAAATGCATTTTACTGCACGATTCAGTGGATCCGGGACTGAATTCGTGTGGAATAGAGTTATGATGATCGCAATTGTTGTCCAGTTGTCGCGCCTGTATCTTAAAACCGCCGTAACGGACAGCGGATTCCGTATGAAATCTTATGTTAATTTCCTGTTTTTCAGTCCCGAAGTCGACAACAATTCGCTCGCCTTTCCTTCGGCCGCAATATTTAATGCCTTCAATCTCTACGAAACCATTGGAACAGTACTTGTGGTCCATGTCTTCGACGCCGACTTCAAAATCTTCGAAATGGATCTCAAGACGACAGACGTGACGACTCGAGCGAA